GAAAGGTGGAGTGCGTGTCTCTTTTTTTTTTTTGGTTTTTGTGTTTGTGTTTGTTCTCTCCCGCGGCAAAAAGGTGAAAAACCCAGCAGTGCCATCTGCGTTGCTGCTGCCGCACCGCTGCAACAGCGATGATGGTGAAGAAGGAGAAGGAGGAGGAAGAGGAAGAGGCGGCAACTGTTGCGGAAGAAAAAGGGGCCGCAGCGCGACGGCGAGTAGGCGCGCAGATGTCCATCCGCCGAATGCCCCGCACCTTCGCTCGTCGTCCCCCTCCCGCCCACCCCTTCACAGACACACACACACGCGCTCACTCACTCACAACGATCTCTATCACGCTTACTCGCTCTATCGGCCATTAGTGTACCGCACGCCCACGCACTCGCACTCTGTCTCTCTCTCTCGCTCGCTCGCTCTCTTGCACACGCACGACATGTTGCTGCAGGACGCCCTGCGGCAAATCACAAATCCAACGAAGAAAAAAAGACTTCTCACTCCGCATGTTATTTGCTGCCAATTCTCTTTTTTTCCACCGACTAACCAAACCAATCGGAAAACCAGCCCACACCATCTCTCTCTTTGTCTGTTTGTTTGTTTATTTATTGTGTTTTCATTTCTTTTTTCTTTCTCTCTGTCTCTCTGTTAGCCTCTCCTCGTTTTCTTTTGTTTGTTTGTTTCGTGTTTAGCCTCCTGCCGTTGTTCGCTCCGAGCGCACTTCATCTCGCCCCGGGATCCTCTTTAGGAGCGCGGCAGCCGGCAGCGGGTGGGCCGCCACGCGCCACGACAATACAGCAAGGTGGGAAGGTGACGAATATGCGCTGCCGCTGCTGGCCGTCGCGGTAGTGGCGGCAGCTCGCGACAGCGATGATGATGATGATGATGGTGGTGGTGGTGGTGATGGTGATGGTGGTGGTAAAATAGCACACTCTTCTTTTTCTTTTCTTTTCACCGTCCGTTTTGCGTGTTCTTCCTTATTCTTTTTCTTTTCCTCTTCTCGTTTCGTTTTTCGTTTCATTTGTTGTTTGTTTGTTTGTTTGTTTGTTTTTTTGTTGTTGTTGTTTCGGTTTTTTTTTTTTTTGCGTTGCGTGCCCCCGCTTTGCTTCGTACTTACTCGTCTTGTTTATCGCACACACGTGTCATTTTGATTCATCCCCCTTTTATTGAATCGCCCGTGGGGAACTCCAACAGTGACACGCGTTCTCTCCCGCTGCACACAGACACAGACACAGATACACACAATCTCTGTCTATCCATCTCTCTCTCTCTCTGTGTGTGTGTGCGCGCATGTGAAGAGGCTTGCTTCTATTCTGTGACCCTTTCTTCTCCCCCATTGGCTCGCCCTAGTACTCTTGCAATGTTGTGGAGTTACAGGTACTCTCAGCACGTTTCACTTTTTGCTTTCGCTTGGTTTTTGTTTTTGTTTTAGCTCTCGCCTTGCTGATCTGTCGATTCGCGTATTTAGCACTCACTCATTAGCTCCTTTGATCGTCCGGGCATCACTCGACCTGGTTGACGCTTCGCGTTGCGCCTCCTGATTCGATGCCTCACAGGGGTCCGTTGCGGGTGTCTGCTCTGTTTTTCTTTTTTTTTTTGCGTCGTGGGCCATTATCTTCAGCATGTACACATTTTGGTTGTTCTTCAATCCCTGTCTTTGCTACGGTTTTCTTCTCGTTTCTTTGATCAATTGCTGTCAGTCTCATTGTGCAGAGCCCACACCCCCAACTACTGCGGCAGATCTGCGGTCATTTTCAGCGCCCATTGCCGCTCCGTGTTTGCCGCCGTGGTGATGATTACCGCCCCGCCCACCGCCGTATTTGGGGCCCCCGCCGCCGTTGGAGTTACCCCTCACACTGTTCCCACCCATGTAGTTCTTTGCGATATTGCTGCCGTTGTTGTTGTTGTTGTTGTTGTTGTTGTTGTTGCTGTTACTGCTGCCGTTTGTAGTGGCATTGTTGCTGCTGCTGTTATTGTTGTTGCCGCTGGGAGGGCTGGGGTGGTTGACCTTGGGCCGCACGTCGTAGATGCGCAGCACACGCGCTGTCGGCTGCACACTTATCGGGGACTGTCCCGGTAACGAGCCGGGCGCCACCGGGGAGTTGCTGCCGCTGTGTCCATTGTCCGGGTGTGCGGGAAAGGGCGGAGGGCCACCGGCGCTGCCGCTGTTGTTGTTGTTGGTGGTGGACCAAACCCCTGCGCCGAGCGTGAGCGGAGACGCGCCACCGCCGCCACCGCCGCCACCGTAGATCATGGGGCTGCGGTGAGGTGCGATGCTTGGCGTATCGCGCCACTGCGGCACGTGCAGGGCTTGTCGCTGCTGCTCGCAAATGACGCGGAACGCCTCGTCGGTGACGTCGCCAAGTGACAGGGGCGTTATTGCGTAGCATGTGTCGCCGATGGTGATGGTGCGTGTGGCGGGCGCCACGGAGGACAACGCCGCCATGACTTGCGGCGGTGGCTGCAGGCGCAACTCGTACTCGCGGCAAATGTGGATGTTGTTGCAGTCCTCGAGGTAGCGGCAGCGGTGCGCCAGGTGAAGGCGGCAGATGAGCTTTGCGGGGAGCTCCAGTACCTCCTCGCGACCATCATCGGCGACGCCGTTGGTGTTCTTTCCGGACCCGTTCTCGGCGTCCCCCGTTGCATTGGCACTCTCGCCACCCCTGGTGCTGTTCCTCTCTTTTGAAGAAGAATGTTGGTGCTGCTTTTTTTTCGGCGGCGGCACGCTGTGTGCCATGAAGCGAAGGAGACCGACCGTCTGTGCCACGCGATCTGTGTGAATCAAGTCGCTTGTGTCGTTGTTCACATTGGCATTGGCATTCTGTTTGTTGTTATTGTTGCTGTTGTCCGCGCCGCCGTTACTGCCGTTGTTGACGACGCGAATGTACTTGAAGCGGCTGGTCAGCACCGAGGTGTCATGGGGGTCGTCGTGCACACGGCAGCATGTCGGTGCGTGGAGCGCCTCGTAGCGCAGCTGCGGGATGGCGGAGGGCAGCACATGCGCCTGTCTGCACCACTGGTGCCGGCATCGCCCCTCCAGGAACGAAATGCAGAGAGACGGCACAGTCCCCGCTGTAGCGGTCGCCTGCGTGTGCACGAGCTGCGACAGAGGCACACGCAACTTCCGTGTGAGTGGGTCAAGCACCCAAATGCACCGCTCCGTTTCGTTACCGTGGTCACCACTATCCTTTGGTGGGCTTGTGTCGGCATCTTTGTTGTTTCCGTTGCCATTTCTGTTGATCAAAGAGCTGTCCTGCGGGGCTGCCTTCACCGAGGCGGTGGCCGCGCCAAGTGCGAAGTTGCCGCCGTTGCTGATCTGGGAGAGAGGCGGTGCGGTGCTGTGACCATTTTCTGCAGTGATATTCCACTTGTGTAACTCGCCCATAGAGGAAGGCACGGCATAGCTCAACTCCGGCATGTTGGTTGCTCTTATGGAGAGAGGATGATAGTCTTCGCCTGTTACTGCTGTTGCTGCTACCCTATGTGCCTCCTTCTGTTGTATGCTTCTATTTCACTCAAATATTACGGTCGTCTCGATTTCTTGTTGTTGTTGTTGTTGTTTTTTTGCTGTTGTCGCTATAGCATTCAGACACGCACCCGCGTACAACAAATCCTAATCCGTATGTGTGCGTGTGTGTATTCTCTCCCGTCCTACGCTGTCACTGTGCACGTTCGCTTTGAATCCTTGATTGCTGCGGCTTCTGTTCGCTCTTTCACTGCAAGCGCAAATAAGCCCCTTCTATTGTCTCACACTAACTAATTCACTCACTCAAACTCGCAGTAACTTTCTTTGTGTGTCGCTGCTGTCTCGTGGGAGGAAAGGCAGTGGCAAGGCCGATTGTGGGATGTGAGCTTGTTTGCGGTTGTGCCTTTTTTTTTTTCGTGGCCTGCGCGCTCTAGAGAAAGAGGGAGAGGAGGGGTTATGCGTATCCTTCGCGATGTTGCTTCGCAGAAACGAGATATAGCAGCAAGAAAAAGAGCCGAGAGAGAGAGAGAGAGAGAGGAGGGGGAAAAAAAGCAGTGAGGATATATGTATATATGTGTGTGCAGTGGCGGCAAGAAGCTGCAGCAACACAGAGCGTGACTGGAGTGCGAAGCAGTGCGGGACACACACACACACACACACACGGAGACAGACCGACAGACACACAGAGAGTGAGACGCACACATACATACACATGCAAGCACACGCACACGGCAGCGTGTACACGGCTACAGGCACATACATACACGCAGGGGGGCAAAAAAAAAACACACGAGAGAGAGAGAGAGGGTGGAGGGTGAAGGCGAAGGAGGGAAAAGGATGTGTGCAGATGCAATAGCATTTGCTGCGTGACTCAGCACCTCACCTAATCTGAACGGCATCCAAAATATTAAGGCCGGGCATTGACTCGCTTACACCAATCTTCGTCTGTTTTTCCAATTTCCTTTTTTTTTGGCCTGTTTGCTTCTCTTCTCCCACCCCCACCCCGCACAGACACAAGCACGCATTCCCTCTCTAACACTGTTTGCAATATACCCTCTTACGTGGTGTTGCCCGCTTGCTGCGTATGCGTTATGCGCGGCTGCTCGTGTGCATATATCCACCACTCTCTCTTTCTCTTTCTTTTGCATATATATATATATATATATATATATATATATATGCGCGTATGCAGGTGCTTGTTTGTTCGTTTGGTTTGTCTTTTCCTTCCTTCGCTTGTTTCTTTCCTTCCTTCCTTCCTTCCTGCCTTGCGACATTGCACCCGGCTCTCTCTTCTTACGAGGCGGCCGCCCGCTGCGCCTGTGACTTGGCGATGTTATGAAGCATCCGCTCCTTCACAATAAGGTGTGACGCCTTATCGAGCAGCGCGACACTCCGCTCCACTGCCTCATTCCAGCCATTGATCACCTCTGGTGCGTTCTTTTTCGCCTCGAATACGACGAGGCCGTCTACGCGGTCGATCTTCGCGTAGAGCGTCTTGGACGCGACCATCATCATGAGGAACTCCTCTGTGTGCTCCGGCGTCAGGCCGACAAGCTGTGCGAGCCGCACGAGCCGCAGGCGGCGGTAGAATCGGGAGATGACAAGGAGGTCGTGCTCACTGCAACGGCTGCGCAGAAGCTGCTGGCGCTCAGGGTATTCAGCGAGTTGCGGGTGGTTGGCGCAGAGCGTCTCCACGTCGCCGGCAACCCTGTCGCGTATGAGCTCGATGCTGGTGAAGCGCTGCAGCAGGTACTGCACCTGCGAGATGTCCTCCAGCTGCTTCTGCAGCGCTGCCGTGATGCCGCGGATCGCGGCGCTGCGGTCGGCGAACTTCGTGGCAGGCGCGAATGCGGCGCACTCTGCGAGGTCGTCGAGCTCCTTCGCCGTGGCGTGCTCGGCGATGAGGTAGTGCACGGCCATGCTGCTGAGCGCCGCCAGCTTTGCGTCGTCGTTGGTCTCCGCGAGATAGGTCTCGTACCAGCAGCGCGCCACGTTGAAGTACGACCGGCGGTGGTCGAAGTAGCGCCGCATGAGGGCGAAGTACGTCAGCCGCGCCTCCCGTGTCTCGGGGCGCGCGAGGGCGCGATAGTTGATGCGGCGCGACACAAGCGGCGCGTGCTCGTAGTCCTTCAGCTCGAGGCAGAGGCGGAGGAGCCGGTTGAGTGCGTCGAGCTTCTCCACGCGCGGCATGTTGGTGACCGTCTCCACGTGCAGCCCGCTAAGCAGGTCGCAGGCGGCCCGCTTCTGCCCCTCCGCCTCCACCAGTGTCGCGAGCTCGATAGCGAAGCGCACGTGCTCGAGCTCCACGTGTATCTTGCTCTCCGTCACGTGCACGACGCGCTCGAGCACCTCGCGGCGGCGCTCCTGCGGCAGCGCGGCGTCGGTGAGCACCACAGCGCACTCGGCGATCATGGCGCTCTGCGCCTGCTTCGTCTGCCCGCGCTTGCGCATCAGCATCTCGAGCAGCTCTAGCATCTTGGTGTAGTCGCCCTGCACACGGTACACGCGTATCACCTCCACGACAAGCCGCTTCGCGGAGATCGCGTCGCCGCCGAGGCGGGCGGTCTTCTCGAGCGCCAGCAGCTCACTGACGAGGTCATCCAGGCTCTTGTTGCTGCTGCGCAGGAGGACGGGGATGGTGGTCGCGTTGACGCGCTCAAGGAGGGCGTCCACCGCCTCGCTGTGGTTTTCCACTTGCTTGAAGCTCGCCCCCCTCCACTTGTCTACATCCTCCATTGTCGTCACTCAACTCTGTTTCGGTTTACAACTTGCAATCTCGTGTCTCGCTCGGTAGTCACGTTCAAAGGTTGTATGCACTATTCTCTTTCCTTATCCCTTGAATCATTGTTGTCGTTGTCGTTGTT